AAATAACACACACACACACACACACACACGTTTATATTTCCTATTGGCCCAAAGTAGTGATAATGAAGTGGGGGCATGCAGTCAGTCACTGGAAGTTCAGCCAATGGGATGAAGAAGGTGATGTCTTGTTGCTAAAATGACTTGAACCTCGGAGGCATTGCTCCAGTTTAAGACTTGCCAAGGGGAAATAAGAGGGATGGGCTATCTAGTACAGGGTTGGCCACTGTGGTGTTCCCAAATGTGGTTTGACTACAACTCCCATCATCCTTGACCATTGGCTGATGTGAATTGGGTGTTGGGAGGCTTCAGCAGTAGCAAAGAGGGAGAATTGAGCAACATCCTTTCCAATACTGGAGAGAGATAGCCGACATATTGGATCACCCAGAACCCATAGGATTGCACCCTTGGGTGGTTATCGAAATACCTTAGTTTCTCGGAAACTCATCCCTTTGATGGAAGTCACTTATATTCCCATTTTACAAATGAAGAAGTGAGACTGAATGGTAGTGACTTCCCAGGATAATTTGAAGGCAAGGCTGTGTTTGTGTGAGGAAACAGAAGGTGCGGTGCTATGACACTTGGTTGGGCGTAGGCCCCAGTCGACACAGTGGGTCATAGTTCTGAGAAGACAGGCCCAGGTTTGCGCCGCACATTTCCAAGGCACATGGGTCCGCTTGCTGTGGAAATGTGGCTTTTGTGGTTTCGGCTCTTTTTCACGGAGGGAGGGAGATGCGAGACTGACTTCCTTGAATTGTTCAGCAACACCATATGTACAACCGAATGCTGCCTTTGTTCAGGCTTGCAGCCATTTCACCACGCCGCCTCGTGCTTGATTCTAGACACATTGCACCAATCTGCTTGCTAAATCGAGGCTCGTTATGTCTCCCTTTAGTACTGTGCCAGTCTCCGCCTCGCCTCTGACAGAAGCTTGGCAGCTCCTGCAAAAGACCCAAAAGCGGGGGTAAAGCAGAGAGACCCGCAAGCAGGATCCAATAGCGAGGGAGGAGAGCTGGCAGGCAGAAATGGAGCACGGATAATATCACCAGCAATCAAGGCTTTGCACCGGGTGCCAGGGACATCTCACTGAATTCCACCAGGCAAGTCATTGCCGGATTTTACATCCAGAAACACAGCCTCTGTATTCCTCCCCAGCACAAAATGGTGGCTTAGAGCCACAGCAAAACATCGTGCATGGCTCAGAAGGTCAAAACCAAATTGAGAAAGGAAGGTAATTTCCAAGTTGTTTGTTTCACCCCGAGAAGAAGTGCAATATGTATTCATCTGGAAATCATTAGCTTAAAAGAGCAGTCTGGGAGAAAACTATTTATATACGGTATTTTAAAATTGGAAAACAATGCAGCATCTTGTATTTACTTGACATTGTTAACCTAAATAACAGAACAGGTGGTACACAAAGCCTTTAAACCAGATTTAAGTTATGATCCTATATTGACAACTTATAATGTAGTGTGACTTGGAGACCTTTGTGACTTACAAGTCTAAATAACAACAACAACCTGAGAGTAAGGCTCATTAATTTAATGGGGCTTACTTCTAAGTAGATAAGACTACACTGTTGCATTAGTAAAATGCTTTCCTGCAATATGATTCAGTTCATCTAGAGAGTTACAGTCTATACTTACCCAGTGAAAATTATTGATGCATTTACAATTATATCCCATTTTTCATCCATCATGGAAATCTATACTTATTGTTCCCCATACAGACGGTGACCAGACCCAGACCTTGGCTTCAGCAAGGTAGTGACCACATGCATATTTAAGATAACAATTCTGAATATTATGAAGCAGATTCTCAGCAGTGGAATAATAAAACCATTTCTACCTGAAATTTGCAAGCCTCTTGGTACATCTTGCTTCAGGCCTTTAACAAACACAGGAGTTCTGGCAGTAAGCAGAACAGAGAGCTAATGAAACTTCATGTTCCAATAGGTTGCACATTGAGAAGAAAGAGCAATTGAAAAAGCAAGCCAATAGATTTGTTTTTCAGAATCTGCTGGCTGCATATACAGTGGGGGGCATGAACGGTTCTTGACGATACTAATTGTCCCCCTTTTACATATTACAACTCTAGACTAGTTTCTTTTGCACCGTAGATCTGAAGCATATGTTTACAGAGATTTGAAATGTGGTTAGATGACAAATTGTCAATCACAAAATTTGAAAAAGTTCCCAGTTTTTGTCCATCCATCCCACGCTGAGGTACATTCTAATGGCGAGGACCCTGATCGATCATTGTCCCCCCTACCCTGCAGGCCAAGTACAGGTGATTTTGAGGTTAAGGTCCCGAGGAGGAGATTGCTGGATGAGTCTGCAAGAGGGACAACCAGGCTTTCTTTTCTCTGTTTCAACTATTACAACTTGATCAGGCAACAACCATTTGCCAGAAGGTCAGGTAAGCATATCTGGTTTTGACCTATAAAGCCTTAAACGGCTCAGGACCGCAATGCCTCTTCCCATATGAACCTAAGGTAAAGGTAAAGGGACCCCTGACCATTAGGTCCAGTCGTGACCGACTCTAGGGTTGCGGTGCTCATCTCGCTTTATTGGCCGAGGGAGCCAGCGTACAGCTTCCGGGTCATGGGGCCAGCATGACTAAGCCGCTTCTGGGAACCAGAGCAGCGCACGGAAACGCCGTTTACCTTCCCGCCGGAGCGGTACCTATTTATCTACTTGCACTTTGACGTGCTTTTGAACTGCTAGGTCGGCAGGAGCAGGCACCAAGCAACGGGAGCTCACCCCGTCGCGGGGATTCGAACCGCCGACCTTCTGATCGGCAAGTCCTAGGCTCTGTGGTTTAACCCACAGTGCGACCCGCGTCCCATATGAACCTACCCTGACCCTAAAATCATCTTCTGAAGCCCTCCTTCGTGTGTCTCCTCCTCGAGAGGTTCGGAGGGTGGTAACACAAGAGTGGGCCTTTTCTGCAGTGTCTCCCCGTCTGTGGAATGCTCTCCCCAGGGAAGTCCATCTAGCGCCTTCATTATACACCTTTAGGTGCCAGGTAAAAATGTTCCTTTTTAACCAGGCCTTTGGTTGACCTGATTGACATCCTTTACCCTTTTAAAATGTGTTTTTTTTGGGGGGGTGTTATTGGGTTGTTGGTTTTATTCTTATTATGTATTTTGTGGTTTTATATCTTGATTTTATTCTGTGAACTGCTCTGAGACCCCGGGGAATAGGGCAGTATATACAGTGGTACCTCAGATTAAGAACTTTATTCATTCTGGAGGTCCGTTCTTAACCTGAAACTGTTCTTAACCTGAGGTACCACTTTAGCTAATGGGGCCTCCCGCTGCTGCCATGCCGCCGCCATGCGATTTCTGTTCTCATCCTGAAGCAAAGTTCTTAACCCGAGGTACTATTTCTGGGTTGGTGGAGTCTGTAACCTGAAGTGTCTGTAACCTGAGGTACCACTGTAAATTCTAGTAACAACAACAACAACAACTACAGCTGTTTGAAGCATAGGTTCTAGAAAGACTGGAGAAGTTAAAGACCACATAAAGTGAGGGAAGGTAAAGCTCAGAGAAGGAGTAAAACTGAAGCCATGGATTTGTACCTATAGCATCCCTGCTTACAACTAAGGTACTCTCTCATTTTCTGAAGATGTCCTTTATGTTCCCAATATTCCCCGCTGTCCTGTCCTCGACCCTTATTTATCCTTTTGCACAAAAATATGTTTGCTGCATACACAATTGCGCTAGCATTTGTGCCCAAACATATTCACAAACGTCAGGGAGGATTCTGAGGAGCAATGGACAGGAGAGGCAGAACAGGGGCTCAGGGATGCTGAAGAGCCCTGCAACCACCCGAGGGCTCGGGAAGGAAACTCTGACTCAGAAAGGAAGGGGGCTTTCACATCAGCACAGACAAGGAGGGAAATGAAACGTAAGGATCAAAGATGTCTCGTGTGATTCCCACGCCTACTTTGTTGGCGCGGGAATCATAGAAAGCCACTCCCTGAATCGGACTCGATGGGTTCGGGCGCATAATGCTGAACTGTAGCTGTTCTTGTATATATGTAATAAAGACTGTAAATATCATGCTGATTGTGCCGGAGTGTTACTGCGAAGGGGAAACATTACCTTTACAACAAACAAGTTAGCAACCTGAGGCAGCTAAGGGCACCAAGATGGCCGCCACTGAGCTACAAAATTTCATGCTAACTCACGCAAAATATTGTGTTAAGAGAAAGGTCCAGGGGCCTGTAAGCAAGGTTCACATATGAAAGACCTGAAAGTAAAAGAAGCTTGCTTCTGACTTCAAGTGGTCAGCGGTAAAGAATGATACTTTAGAAATCAGGAGATAAGCAGTCAAATAAACTTAATTCACAGGTGATGTGCAATCTGTGTCATTTATGACACATTCCCATGCTTTAAACAAGGATCTTGAAATGAGAATGTGTGGAAGCAGAAGGAGAAATGAATCAGTTTAAGAGGCAATGAATCTAGAATCTAGCCCTGCAGTAGTAAGCAGGCAGTGTGCTCCAATCCAACCACAAATATTAATACTTCTTAGGTGGTTAAACTGAAAATAAGAAGGCACTTCCCACTGGTAGCTAGAGCACTGTTTAAAAAAAGAAAAGTACAGGCGCACAGGAAAGACTTCTCTGATTCATTATAAAAAGTGATCATGTTACAGGCAAGACAATCACAGCATTGAGTTTAACATAAAGCTTTTTCCAGCCTCCTCACCTCTCTCTGATACATCATGCATGGAAAATCTCCTTCCAGTAAATGGCATACCTGTTCCACATATAAGGGGGAAGTGTTCATGTGTGTTTTGTCCACCCCCAAACCACCTTGACTTAATCATCGTACTTACTTATACCAAGGTAATAGAGATGTGCCACAAGAGATTTTCATGTGAAACATAGGAAATTCTACTGCATTGTAGGCTGAGCCTAGTCCATGCCAGGGAATCGTTGGCCCGCGTCCTCAGATCCAGAGAGAGAGTAAAAGAAAACACCAGGAAAGATCCTTCTTTGGAGGAAAGCAGTTTTATTCTCTGTGCACAGGAGACAGCCAGCAGAATAATTTCTGGAAGACTGACTGCCTAGAAAATACACCTCTGCAGACTTTCTTATACCTTGAGTGGGCTTTCTCCCTCCTCCCCAATCAACTGGAAAGTTTTCAACTTATTTTTAGCATGTCTATAGCCCTCTAAAACAGCCCTCCCTATTGTTCCCGATACAAGCGTCCTGCATCCCCCCTGTTTCCTCCCGTCTCCTCCCGTCTGTGTCTTTTTTTATCTTGCATTCCTAAAGTAAGAAAAAGCGAGGCTATTTCTAACTTACAGTCTCTGTCTTATCTTGCATTCCTTCGGGGGGCCCTTTTTGCAGGTGAAGTTATTTCTAGCTAAGAAATTGACTTAGACAGAAAATATGAAGATCCTTCTTAGGTACATATGAAGATCCTTCTTAGGTACAAGGTACAAGGTATAGAAAGCATATAGAAAGCAAAGGTACAAAATATAGAAAGCAACCCTTCCTCTCTCCCTTCACTCCCTCCTCTTCTTATGAACAACCTAATACTTAGGTTCGTTCTGGGGAAGGGGTCTATAATCTCTTATGAAAGCAAGCACGCGAGGTCCCATCATGCGAGACATCATCTTCTCCATCATATTTTGCATACATTGCATCAAGCAGGGCATACAGAAGCAGAAAAGCAATAGAAGCATTATTGGACCTATCACCATAGTAAATATTCTCCCCATCCATCCACCTGGGAAGATGCCGTCCAACCAAGACATATCCCAGCCCTCCCAGGTTTGTACAGGGACATGTGCTACCTTTTCAATTCTTGCTGCCAGATCACGGATAGCCTCGCCATGGTCTGAAATGTTGAAGCAACATGCTCCACCTGTGAGATTTAACGCTGCACAAAAGCCTCCATGTTGCGCCAGGAGAAAGTCCAATGCTAATTGGACTGAGAGAAACGCATTGCGTGTCTCATCCAATTGCGTGGCAATTAGCCTAAGGGCCGTGGCTGTCGTGTTAGCAACAATCTCTACCACTGCCTGGAGTCTGATTACGCGGTTCAAGTTATAGATCGGCCCCCTTGCCCCAGAGATTTTCTCCCCCCGATTCCATGAGGCTGGAGCATAATGGGCCAGTATCCTTTCCGGAGGCCACTGATTTCTGCCCCAATTCTGGGAGCTGCCACCTGTAAGTGTTGCCAGGTCAGCCGAACGCCTCCTTCTACGGGGTGCAGAGGCAATCTGGTCAGGAATCCACATGGGGGGTATTAAGTAGGCTGGAAAACAGACCCCATACCATCCTCTTGGGAGGGCATGATAGGCCTTCCTGCCACACACCCAGTAAACGTCCTGACCATGGGCAGATATGGTGCCTCTCAGCAAGCGGGCCAGGCATGCAATCAAATTGGAACCAGAAAAGGTTCCTGCCTCGGACTCAAACATGTTAGTCGGGGCTGGGAAGGTACGATCACAGTGGGAAGTGCCCACATAGGTCTGAGCGTCACTTATGTCATTTGATTTGTTGACACAAAGGCAGCCAGTGATCCTGTGAACCTGGAAAGGGACGGAATGATTCCATAAAGAAGAATGGTTGCCCAGAGGCTGGAAGGCAACAAGTGGAGTTGTAACCAAGGATTCATTCCAAGGCACAGGGAGGAGTGGCATTCCTCCCAGAGCATTTACAGGGGCCAGAGTGCAGACGGCACAATTGGTCCGATTTGCAGAGAACACAACCATCTCAGCAACCTGAATCCACTTATTATATGTGTGGTGGGCCCCCCCACGATTGCAGCAGTTGTCTGGTCACTGTGAGTGGTATTGGCATTTCAAAGGTCAAAGGCAGCAGAAATACCAGCATGGGGACCCACAGTCGTATTTGAGCCATTGTATGCACGGGGAGGGGCTTAGGTAAGTGCTAGAGAGTGGGCTGGGGTGTAATTACGCTGAAAGAAAAGACCCACTAGACACCCTCCTCTGCAGGGGTGGCGTAAAGCAAACCAGGCCCAGGTACTTTCAATAAAGTTCAGTTATGCGAAAGGAAAGAAAAGAAAATGAGAAAAAGTCCTCTTTCAATCCACGCTGGTTGCAGGAGCCGTGCCAAGCGTCAGCGTCCGGAGTGACGTAGGCAGGGCTGTAGTCTGGTGGGTGTCGGGTCGTCTGGTGGGCTTTGGGCTTCTTGGGTCCCTTCCAACAAGGCTGGAGCAACGTCTGGGCGTCTGGGTCCAATCTGGGTCCTCATCATAGGGATGCAGAGCCTCGACCTAGGCACAAGGCGTTCCAGCAAAAGCTCACCTGTTAAGAGAAGAGATAACAAAGACGGCAGCGATTGCACAGAACAAAGTGATAGGTAACATTTGCACATAAGGTATAGGCCTAGCAAACATTAATTCAAAAGGGTATGCTTGGCAGGAAACTTCGCAAGGGGTTAACAGTTCTGTTCCTCGGGTTAAGTTTTGCCAGCTGAGATTTTTAAAAGTCTCATTTGTGTGCTCTAGGTTTCAGAGCTTTAAGCCATGTTGCAAATTTCAGTTCATTTGCCAGTGTCTGTAGAAAGAACAATGCGCTCCTTGCTTCTGGCAAAGTTACAAATTCCTTTTTCAGAGTAAAATTGCACCTTAAAAAGAAAAACTTGACAAAGTTCACAGAAAGCATTTACTTGCTTTTAAGAAAGTCACTTCTTCAGGTTAGTACTTTTGGGCAGGGGGGTGGGTAACTCTTGGCCTTCTGGGTTTATGTGGCTGAACTGTAAATCCAGAAAGTGTGAGGTTCAGGGTAGCTGGCTGAATGCAGCAGTGTCCTTCTTGGAATAGCTGCCAAGAGATAACGCTCTGAAGCTACCTCCAAGCGCCTGGCACAAGGAGAAAGAAGGAAAAAAAAAAAAAAAAAAAAAGCTGATGTCCTGTTACTTGCATGAATGAGAAACAGTTAGTTCACTTGCTTCTGCAACAGTCTTTGAGCAAATCATTTTCAGAAACCTCATTCTGTGTGCCGAGCAACCATTGTTGGACCAGGGCCAGGCAGCTTCTGGGAACCTGCGTTTGTTGGGCCTGGTTTATCCTAGTAAGTTTTTTTCCGTCTCTCAGGACTGGAGAGGTGGGGTTCAGGCCATGGGGTATCCCTGCACAGATCCCTGTTCTTGCCCTCTGCCTTGATTTTTCTGGAGTTCAGAGCTGGGCTTGTGGCTGTAACGCTGAGGCTCATGGCTGGGTACATAGGCATCGGAACTTTGGTTACTGTTCCCACCCTGTGGGGAGTGGGGTGTGTCGGGCGTGGGGCCTTTGGGCATTCCATTTTCCAGTGACCCTCTTGCCTGCAGATGGCGCACTGGCTTTTTCCCTAGGCGTTCTCTGCCCCTCCCGTGGACACCCTCGCTCGCTCTGAGATTGCATTTTTGGCTTTCTGGCTGTTTGAAGACAAACCCCTAATTATTTTGGCCAGGTCCTCTTCGAAAGAAGGATTCTGATTTAAGGTGCTTGGAGGTCTGTGGTCCTGGGCATCGGATGACTCCAGGGGGTCGTACACTCAGTGGAGTGGGGCCATCAAAGTGGAGTTTTAGCTGCCTCAATTGCAACTATTAGTATTGTCCGCTGCCCTGAGGGCATTTATCCTGCAGATTTCCTCAATGGTCAGTATTGTAATCCCAGGGTTCTTTGATCCCTCGGGTTTAATTGTCTCTTTTTTTTTTTTTTTTAACAGTTCTGTCCTATGCGGCTCTCAAAGCCTTCTGCTCTGTTTCTTTCTGTCTGCCAATTCACATCCTTGCATTGTGCTGCTTCTAGAACTCAAGAAGCCACATGGTTCTACATACTGAAACACTCTTTTGGACTGCTTGTCCACTTCACCTTCTGAATTCTTCATTCTCTATACCACCTTCTTCCTCACTTTCCTCTTCTCTTTCTTTTCTCCCTCAGTCTCTTTTCTTGGGGGTTGGGTAGGGGAAACCTCATTTAGCCCTGGTGCAGTTGCTGCATAGGGTGGAGGGGGGCTAATTATTCCTTCCTCCTTTTCTTCTGGGACTTCTCTTCTGGGACTGGCAAAACTGCTGGCTTTTTAACTTGTACTTGCTGCCATACTGGGCACAGTTTGGCATGGCACAGGTAATCACAGTTCTACTTTTCTTAAGCCATGGGAGACGGTTAGGAACTCCACATAAGTGTTGGAGTCTATTTTTTCATCAGGTTTTTAAAATCCCCAATCTTCTCCCTTCGTGGCATCTTTTCAATTTGTTCAGGAAAGCATTGCAGGGGGGTCATGGGAGTTGTTTTACTGCTTTTTCTCCATGACCCTGGAACACTTGGACACTTGGGATACTGGGACACTCCCTCCTCCTAACGTTATTTTTTCACTCAGTCACAGGCCAGACGTTGCTTTCAACGTCTCACACACTCAAAACATTCACTGGAGTGTCCCCACACGCACATTCAGAAAAACCCATGCACCTCCCCCAACCCCTTTCCCCCCCCCAAAAAACCAAAATCACAACCGGCAGTGCTTCACAACTTCGACCGGGGCCCAAGAGCACCTTTTTTTTTTCACTGCTTCTTCTGGGCACAAAACCAACAACCAACCATAACCGGCAGCGCTTAGACTTCGACCGGGGCCCTAGCAGCACCCTTTGCTGCTTTTTCTGGGCGACACCAAAACCAGTGGCACTTCTTCTACCCTGCTGGCGGGGGTGGTGCCAGGGCTGTTGCCGGGGCATAAGGCGGTGGGGACATTAAAACTTTATCTTCTTCCTTCTCTGAATCCTGGAGGACTGGGGGGTTGTCCTCCTGTCTTCCTGACTGAACAGATACGGCTGCCTGAGACCTTTTGGCAGCATGACTTCAGCCAGGGGGGGGGGGTTTCCACATTGGTCTTCCATGTGGAAATGTAGGGGATTTGATCAGAACGGTCATTCAAAATGTTCTGATATAATGGATTAATGAGTTGCAAATCAAGGGTCCTGATGGACGGCCAATTTATTCTTTTGGGGTGGGCCAATCTAATTTACACAATGTCCTCATCCTCCCCTCTCATCAGCTTGAATCTCCAAAAGCATTTCAAAGGGGTACTTTTACTTTGGCCAGAACCCATTTCTTCCAGATACTTCGCTCCTATTCACAGTAAAAATTCTCTCACCCTTCACACACTACAGCCCTACAATCGCTCGGCCAAGGGGACACTAAGCCCTGGCCCACACTTGACAATTCAGTCACTAGAGTATCTTGACATGCAACATACAACATACAAAACACACCAATATAATTTCAACATGTAACACACTAAACACACCAAAATAACTTCAACATGTAATACACAAAACACACCAAAATAATTTCCCCTCCTTCTTCTGTTCCAAATTTTTGCTGGTGGCACTCTCCTGCACAACCAGTCCCCTTTATTCCTGGTGGCTGGCACTCTACTGCGCAACCAATCCCCTTTTTACCAAACCTTCCTGGTGGCACACCACTGCCACGCCCTTTTTTCCCTTCCTGGCTGCACACTACTGCATAACCATTCCCTTCCTGGCTGCACACTACTGCATAACCAGGTGAGGCTGATCAGGCCTCCCTCTTTTCCCTTGGGCCCCACGCCCACCTGGTGGCACACCACTGCCACGCCCTTTTTCCCCTTCCTGGCTGCACCCTACTGCATAACCAGGTGAGGCTGATCAGGCCTCCCTTTTTTCCCTTGGGCCCCATGCCCACCTGGTGGCACACCACTGCCACGCCCTTTTTCCCCTTCCTGGCTGCACCCTACTGCATAACCAGGTGAGGCTGATCAGGCCTCCCTTTTTTCCCTTGGGCCCACGCCCACGCCCTTTCCCTTGGGCTTACCGTTTTCTGCTGCAGAGTCCCTTCCCTGGCCAGTCCTTTTTCCTCCCTCGACCTGGGTCCTTGCTCTGGAGCGGTGTGGCTGGTTCCCCCCACAAATTGGTAGGGTGCGCGCGTGGAGCCTGCAATCACCGATCCGAGCTGTCCACCAGGTCGAGCCTGGCTCTCCCCAGCCCTCTGAGGTGGGGCAGATTCCCGGTCAGGGAACCAAGATGTAGGCTGAGCCTAGTCCATGCCAGGGAATCGTTGGCCCGCGTCCTCAGATCCAGAGAGAGAGTAAAAGAAAACACCAGGAAAGATCCTTCTTTGGAGGAAAGCAGTTTTATTCTCTGTGCACAGGAGACAGCCAGCAGAATAATTTCTGGAAGACTGACTGCCTAGAAAATACACCTCTGCAGACTTTCTTATACCTTGAGTGGGCTTTCTCCCTCCTCCCCAATCAACTGGAAAGTTTTCAACTTATTTTTAGCATGTCTATAGCCCTCTAAAACAGCCCTCCCTATTGTTCCCGATACAAGCGTCCTGCATCCCCCCTGTTTCCTCCCGTCTCCTCCCGTCTGTGTCTTTTTTTATCTTGCATTCCTAAAGTAAGAAAAAGCGAGGCTATTTCTAACTTACAGTCTCTGTCTTATCTTGCATTCCTTCGGGGGGCCCTTTTTGCAGGTGAAGTTATTTCTAGCTAAGAAATTGACTTAGACAGAAAATATGAAGATCCTTCTTAGGTACATATGAAGATCCTTCTTAGGTACAAGGTACAAGGTATAGAAAGCATATAGAAAGCAAAGGTACAAAATATAGAAAGCAACCCTTCCTCTCTCCCTTCAGCATAAGAACATAGTCAATTAAAAATGCTTATCCACACTCTGTGTTTCATTTGCAAAGTTTATTAAAAAGCATTTGTTTGTTTGTTTGTTTGTTTGTTTGTTTGTTTTTGAATGGATTACTTTAATTTTCACTAGTTTGGAATAGCATACTCTACTTTACCAGCTTACTATCTGTTAAAAACACATACACTGGGCCTTCTGTAAAGGAAAGGTAAAGGGACCCCTGACCATTAGGTCCAATCGTGACCGACTCTGGGGTTGCAGCGCTCATCTCGCTTTATTGGCCAAGGGAGCCGGCGTACAGGGGTCATGTGGCCAGCATGACTAAGCCACTTCTGGCGAAGCAAAGCAGCGCACGGAAACGCCGTTTACCTTCCCGCCGGAGCGGTACCTATTTATCTACTTGCACTTTGACGTGCTTTTGAACTGCTAGGTTGGCAGGAGCAGGGACCGAGGAATGGGAGCTCACTCCGTCGCAGGGATTTGAACCGCCAACCTTCTGAACAGCAAGTCCTAGGCTCTGTGGGTTAACCCACAGCACCACCTGCGTCCCATACTCTACTTTACCAGCTTACTACCTGTTAAAGACACATACACTGGGCCTTCTGTAGGGCTGGGCAAATCTTCAGTTCCACTCTGTTTCTCATTTTTCCAGTCTTAACACCAGCTTTTCATCATTCTACATCAGTTTATTTGTTTAAGTCCTTATGCAAATTCTTTAGCATTTAGCACAAGTGTATTCTGATGTACATACTTTTCTATGCAATTTTGGGTTGCAATTTTGCCCAATACACATGGGATTATTTTTGCAAAGAGCTTCCCCTGATATCATGTATTTTTCTTTGTTTTCACAAACAGAGGCATTTTTAAAAGAATGCACCCTTTAACCTAGTGCAGAGCTTTCCAAACTGTGTGTTGCAGTGGTGGCTGTTGCAAGGAATCAGCAGGATGCTGAGGCAGAACCTGGGGAAGAAAAAAAAGGAAAAGAAAGTTATGTGAGGAGAGGGAGCTTAGGCAGTTCTCAGCTGCAGCTGCCCTTGCCTTGGTTGCCAAGTAGTGCTATGATGTGGCCAAAAATAAAAGAGCTCAGCAACTTTGGTGTCCGGATTTTCACTTTTCAAAATATGGCAACCCTATAGTTGAATGCATGCTATTAAGATAAGTAGGATCTGGAAACATAAACTATGATGGGGACCCCTGCTGCTGTTCTTCTTTTATGAAAAAAAAAACAATAATTGGATTATATTATTTCATTATCTTTTTATTTTATTTTCCCTTTTATTATTTGCCTTGTGGTTCCCATGTTGTAGGGAAAGGACAGGAAATGAGTTTAAAAATATTTTAATAAAGAAAGAAAAAATAAATGAGCTAAGTAATATTCTGCTCTGCATGCCATCAACACCAATACAGTGGTACCTCGAGTTACAGACGCTTCAGGTTACAGACTCCGCTAACCCAGAAATAGTAGCTTGGCTTCAGGATGAGAACAGAAATTGTGCGGCGGTGGTGCAGCAGCAGCGGGAGGCCCCATTAGCTAAAGTGGTACCTCAGGTTAAGAACAGTTTCAGGTTAAGAACGGACCTCCAGAACGAATTAAGTTCTTAACCCGAGGTACCACTGTACCTGATAAACTACAGGACAGCAAAAGCACTAGGTTCCATGCTCCAGGGCCAATGGAAAAAGTTTAGGAAGCAGCTGCAAATGGCTCTTCAGATGGAATCTTGCGAGCATTGCCTACAATTGGAGCTTATATTGCCCTAACTTTCAGGCTGTGCATCACTACTCAGATCTAGCCAAAGAAGCTTTGGTGAGATTATCTATAGCTACAAACCAAATTGTTCTCAACAATAGACTAGACTAGCTCAGGTGGGGGCGGTCCATTTAGAGCAAACAGGGCACTGCCTCACCAACCTCTGCCAGCTCTTAGCAAGCCCCTTCCTACCTTATTTGCAACTGGTCCATGTTGTAGCATGGCCTGTCAGCTTCCTCCACCTCCATCTCAGTAGGGAGTAGGATAGGAACAGTAATTTTGCTGGTTCTGGCTCCACCTTCTTGCCTTCTAACCTAGTGCTCCTAATGGACACCAGTCAACCACGGTGATAACAAACCTGGGGAACCTGTGGCCCTCCAGATACTGTTGAACTCCCATCAATCCCAGATTGCATGGCAAGTGGTATAGGCTGATATGAGTTGGAGTCCAGCAGCAACTAGACCAGTGTTCTTCAACCTTGGGCCCCCAGTTCTTATTGGATTCCATCTTCCATCATATCACTGGTTAAAATGGCTGGTGTGGATAGGGGTTGTAGGCCACCAACTTGTAGGACTCAAGCCTGCGGATCACAGATTAAGATGGCCACAGGCTGCTCCCCACTGTGAGAGAGGTCCCTATAATGTCTCTCAGGCCAGTCTAACTTATTTGTCTGACATCTGAGCACCTCAGAGATGCTCCTATTGTCCTGGATAGAAACAAAGTTGGACCTCCCCAACTTTGCTTACCTCGCAATCTGAATGAAGCCAGTTATGCCAACATTTTGTGAATAGGACAGCATCATATCTCTCATATATTGTGAGTATATTAGGAAGAGCTTCTCTGGAGCAGCCAGATTTATTAGTGTATATCTCTATTCCTATAAACAGGCATTGCTTAATGCATCTTTTAAACATAGCAAGTTGTTGAACTATCCATTTATCTGCCAACTGTGGAAATCTCAAGGTTAATATTAGGACTATTGTAAAAGACAGAAAGTAGCTACAAGTGCAACTAGCATCTTTCATTATCGTTGTTTGACAAATGCACCATGAGCTCCTTAATGAC